TAATCAATATTTATTGATCTAATTTGTTGATTCAAAATGCAAAAATAATTGGTTAATGAAGATTAAAATCCAAATTTGGACTTTGAAATAATTCATCTTGCAAACTCTCTAAATAAGCAGCATAAATTAAGTACTCATAAAATTGTTATGGAAATATTACATGCTTAAGAGACTAAACTTTTCAAATAACTCGGGGGAACTCATTTTTATTCAATTGATACAGACACTAGAAACTACTTAAAGAAAGGTTTCCTCTAAGGACACTAACAAGAGAACCTTGTGTTTGCCTAATTTGAGTTCCTTTAATTTTTTTGTAACTACATTTATTTCATTGAAAGAAACTGATTACATATTTAAAAGGTTTACTTAATATATCACTAATTCAAATTAATCACTGATTCCCTGACTGATATTTTATAGGTTACATACAAAAGCACTGTAGTCTGAAACATCAAAATCTTTTCTATCATAATGCTTGAGAAAAATTCAACCTATGATGACTCAAAAACATTGCAAATCTGTTACAAAAAAATTTCAAAACATAAAGTACATGACTATGAAATGAGCAGTTTCCAAAAGTAGGTACATGAATATAATGTGATTTCGATGTCTTCATCACTAAGGTTATAGTTTTTAGAATACACAGCAAACATTGTTCAATTCATTCTACATATCTCAATATATCCAGTAGGTGAATGCTGTGTTTTCAAAAGGAGAGGTAAACTTTTTATTACCCTCTACAGATAAAAAACTGTTTTAAGAAATATTAAAACACTGATCAGGGTTGATAATACATCTCATTAAAATTTTCTATGATCTCAAAAATCACACCTCTAACTTAAAGTTAAAATAATTCTTCCTACTTCACAAGTGAAAAGATAAAATTTCACATAGAATTCTTTCTATATCAAATAATTAAGTCTTCATTTTCTTTTCAAGAAAGAAAGATCAGGTCACTCTATTACCAGCCATCTATAAATACATTATTCAAGAACTTTATCACAGGCAACATTATTGCCACACAAGACATGTGGTCAGTAGTATCTCTGTCAAACTACATGATCTTGCTAGGGTCACTTAAAAATTTTATCTCATATTTCCATATGTGAAATGAGATAATGTTTACTCACAGAAGCTTTTAGAATATACCTCGTTTATGATGTCAAGAGCATTATGTATGTTCCAAAAACATTTTAAGCGTTTCCAAATTTCAATTTGCAGTGTTTTCCAATAATTTCTTACCAATTTAGCATTTTTAATTATAAAATTCCTGAAAAAGTAAATGAATAATTATGAAGAGGTTATTTGTATAAAAATGTGTCATCTACTAATAACTATACTAAACTTCAAACTCTATTGGGAACATAAGTAAACGTCTTAAAGTTATATTTTACAAAGAGTATGCACATAAACATTCTTCGTGTCATGTATAATTTCAAACAAAACTATTGCACATCTCTTGCTACATTCCACATTTCACTCAAAAACAAAATTTTAAAGAACAGCTTATATAACTCTGTACCTTGTTTGTGGCTTGCAATTATAATAATTGAATTTATAACATATATTTTGCCATTTTTAACTGTCATCAACCTTGCTTACAGTTGCTTAAGTAGAAAATAAAATAAAACTGAGGCCAAAGGTTTAAGACAATGATAGGTATTTCTTTTGTATAAAGTAGCATTTTTAGAAGTTTTCAAATTTTTGCAAATTATTTCCATTTCATGAGTTCTACTATTATATACTATGTTTCTTAATATTTATCACCTTAAACATAATATTTATCACCTTAAAATCTTTTGAGATTTTAGAATCTCAAAAACTAATTTGGCTCCATTTACTATAATGAAGGTACTGATATCATGTGCCTTTCATGTTAAAAAATATTTATGAGACATAACAGACTCCTGCTAAATTTATTACTGTTATTTTCTTCACCTTTGTTGAAAGTCATATATAAAAGCAGAATAAAAGTTACCATTAAAAAATTATAAATACATTCTTTGGAGAACTCCGCCTATGTAGGAAATGCAGGTACCAGGTGGAGCCTATGTCATAATGCAGGGCCATTCTTTTGTTGTTTAAAGATGTGGAAAAATGCAGAAAGGTACCATCAATGATGTATTTTAAAATCCTACAGTGACTGAGATCCATTTCAGATTCATCAGGTAATACCTCAAACTGTTTACATTAAAGAAAAAATAAGTCAAGAACATCTAATATGGAAAGTAGGCAGTTGTGAAGCTTATCTGAAAAATCTAAATAAAATAACAAATATTACACAACTCAGAAAACTATATACCCCATCTTTATCAAACAGTATTGAGACATTATCAGATAGTGTTACTTGTAATATCAACATAAGCTGTTTTGTGAAATGTTAAACTGTTTTTAAATATTCAGCATTCTTTTTAATAAAATATTAATTTTCCTGATTATAAAAGAAATTTTATAAATGTTCATTGTAAAAAATTAAAACAAAACAGTCATAAAAAAACTTAATTAAATCATGTTAATATTTAAAAAACACTTTATTGAAAAAAGTTATTAATATTTTAAAATACAGAGCAAGACTAGCACTGAATCAAACTTCCATTTATGAGAAATCATAAAATGAGAACTTTTTTCTATTCTAGCCATGTTGTTTTCTTCAATATCTATATATTTGGTTAGAGGATGTGTCACTTTCTACATATCCTTCTTAATCTAAAATAAAGTTAAGTACTGCTTAAGGAAAAGAGCATCTTTTGGAATCTACATGTCAGAGTACAGCACTGATTCAGTAACACACACATGCTCCTATGTACCTAAAGGGCCCCACCTGCACATACAGGATGCTGTCTATGCTTAGAAAGCTGCATCAGCAAATTCCTCACATCTCAATCTTTTTTATCTACTTTTTATATAATTGTATCTTTTTCACATCTAATGATTACCTTCTAGGGTGGGGAGGGAAAGAGAAAAAGTCCTTTAAGGCAACTTCGTTTATCTTTAAATTCACACAATTTATGGAATCTATGGAGCAAATCAGCTTATTAATCATTGTTTCTCCAAAGAAATAGATATACGACAAAATACCTCAAATTTCATTTTAATAAATGAGGAAAATTAAAGTGCAAAGACAAATAATAAGCCATCCCTGGACAATCCTTCCTATTATTACTTCCCCAATGAGAATAAAATGTTACACTTAGCATAATAAAGTAAGGAGGTAGGTTAACCTCAGAAGTATGCCTTTGTCTTATCTCAACATCAGCTTGCTGGATATATTTAATCTCAAACGAAGTCTTCATGAATAATTGTGTCTGGGAAATACGCTTTCAAAAATATACTTGAAATAGCTGAGTTTAACCCAAACTTTGAGTTTAAATAGATTTGCGAAAAGAAGTACTAACTTAGAAAATCCTAATGCTCAATGATTTACTTCTGTTTGAATTGGGGTTGGTGATTTTTAATTTGTGGTGTTAATAAATATGGTACCCACAAAAATAATAAAACAGCATCTACCACATTCTGAATATTTTTTATGTGCCAGGAGCTGTGCTGGGCACACAGACTAGAAAATTCCATTTAGTTATCAAATTCAGCTGAACACGGAGCTACAATCACTGACTTAATATTTTTTAATTAACACCAAAAATAAGCTTTTGGAGCATTTGGTATCTTACCTAAGGCCAAGTAGTTTTTGAGGGCCTGGATCTCAGCCCAAGTTTCATATACTAATAGTGTAAATTATGAACCTTTCCAACACTCTATAACTCTAGAAACAATTATTCAAATAATAGAACCCTTAGGAAAGAGAATACAGAATGCATTATTTTTTGGCTGTCATTTATAACCAAACTGGATAATTACCACAAAATACAATATAATGATGAGAAAAATGGTTATGCTTCCTATTCTTAAAATACATTACCTAAAAAGAGAAGTTTCAAAATATTATCTTACTATATGAACATATTGAAATATGAAAAAAGGAAGTTAAGCAGCTTGCCCTAGAGTTGTATATAAAGTACTACAGTAAACAAAAAAACTAAATTTAGAACTTGCCTCATTCAGCCTCTTGCAGCCTATAATAAAGGCTTTCTTTTCTACTCTTCCTCTTCAAACCAATTTTTTTCCAAAAAGAAATTGATAGAGATTTTAAAAAATTATTCAAGGGAAATAACAAAAGTAAACCTAAGGAATATCAAGAATTTCAGTTTGATTACATACATTAAACTGGTTTCAGCTTATCAGATTGCTGTTTTAATAAAACTAACTTATAAGAGCAAAGTAAAAGATATTACAAGACAAGAAAAGAACTCAAGCCAATGATGATGAAAAAAAGAGAAATAAAACCCAGAGAAATATTGCAGGGAAAAGGTACAGACAGAGGTACAAAGGTTAGAGCCTTTTGAAATGGAAGCAGTGCAGCCTACTGGCAAAGTAGGCAGGCTTTGGTCCAGGCCTACTGGGTGGGCGGGAATCTCTGCCATTGACTAGTTAACTGACGAATAATCATTTTCTTTTGTTTCCTTATCTCGAGTGGAATAATAACTATTATCTCAAAAGGCTGTAGTGAGGATTAAATGTGTAACACATGTAAAACTCAACAGTGAGCCTGGCAAATAACTGTTATTACTTATTATGGGGAAAAGCCAGAGGGGAAAATAGTAAGCATGACCTCAGGCTTTCTGTACACATAATCCACTGGGTCTTTTCTAACTATATTTACACCCTAAACTAAAGAAATAAAAATATGATTCCCAAATAATACGTATGATTTTGAAGATCATATATATCATATCTGAAATGTTAACAGCACTATATTTCCATGAACTTTATGTTTTCCTTGAACTGGCCTGAATTTAAAAGGCACACTTAAACCAAGATGTCACTGGCAAACAGGGGAAGAATAAATATAAACCCAACTACAGAAGTATAAAACAATTAGATTTTGTTTCCCAAAAAAGTAAGCTCTTGTCCTAAGTGTTTTATTAAATTGAAGCGAAGTCTGATTTTGATATATAGAATATTATTTTATTCTTTATTTTAAACCTTTCTTACATGTTTAAAAATATACAGGGGTTCAGAACAACCTCAATAAAATGACAACATTTCTACTAAAAGACCTTTGAAGCCAAACCACCAAGGTGCAAACATGGTTGGCTTCTAACTTGAAGAGTCATAGGCACATTTTATTAAATGCATTTCATAAAACAAATAAAAAATGCTGAGAAGAAAAATATTCAGTAGTTTGATATAAATTTTAAAATATCTTTCAGGCAAGAAACTGATGGTAAAAAAGTAATATTTAGATGTTTTACTGCTCATACCTGCTTCACTAATTCCTCAAATGCTACTTTGCTACATCTAAACCCCTGACAATTTATTACACAATCCCATGTAGCACGCAAAAAAATAAGTTAATCTCTGCATCTGAAAACAGATCATTACAAAAGAAAATACTGACAGCTCTTACCTGTATTTGATAATTAAGTATATTATATTCTCAGCAGCACTAAAAATGCAGCTTCGTCTAATATAAATATCTAACTAACAATTACACAAAAGTATTTTTCTCTTAAAATAAGTTTTTGTATATACTTTTTCCAATGGTGGCAACTTAAACAACACTGATCTATATATTTTGCTAAGAAAACATTAGGCACAGATAACATAATTTACATTTTCTTTGCTGTAAAAAATATAATATGTGCAAACACGTACCACACAAATGACTGACTAGTGGACACCACAGTAAGCTATCGTAGAACTAACACAAAAAGGTTCATGTTTTATTTTATTTATTTTTAAAAAGGACATTCTAAATACCCTTAAGAGTAATACCTCACTGCTGGATGAGTATGAGTATCCTGCATCAGCATTAGAATTACTAGTGGGTTTTCCTAAAGAAAAACAAAGCTTTACTATAGCAAAAAAAAGACATCACTTTTAAGCACATGAACTAATTTAAAAGGAACCAGATAAAAATGTTTCCAAAAGCCATTAAAAATATTTAATAAGCTACCAGGTTGCTTTGCTGGAAGAAATAAATTATTTAACATTATGGATGCTTTATACAGTAGATTCTTTCATTAGCTAAGACACTTCTGAAGTAAGGTACCAATGGATGCAGATCAAGAAAAGGAGAGAGGAGAAAAGAAAAAACAACAGGAGATTGTTAGGAAAAGGGGGAAAAGCAAACGTCATTTTACCCAGAAGAAACAAAAAAATCGAGTTTCTATTTGTTTGTAGCAGAAAAACTACCGCAGTGATTATAAAAACACAAACAAAGGAGTTGTTTGGCAAGTAATAAAATGCAATGCTTACTTTGCATCCTCCATGAAGAGACCACTTATGGACTGTAGATTAATGTGATTAAAAGTACACTTTGATGCAAAAGATTATACTTTGCCACATATATAATATGTAGCTTTTTTCTACAAAGGGCAATTTATGTAAGTAATAACTTCCACAAAAAGTGAGAGGAACACAGAAAGACAAAATGAGAAACAAAGACAGAGGCAGGGTACAGTCAGACAGAAAGAAACGCCAAGCCGAGGGGCTTGCTCATGTCCTGCAGAAGATTTGAGACTTTTTTTCATCTCGGTGCTTATTTTTCCTATTACTGCACACTAATAATCACATGCTATAATTATTTCATGAGATAACCCTCTATACATCCTTCCCTTTAGTTTCTTACATGAAAAAAAAAAAAAAAAAAAAAGAAACCTTTAGTCTCATACTTCATTTTATAGTCAACTATTCAAGTAAATATTTCTCTGGTGGCAAATTTCCAGATGAATCTAGAATATGATCCAAAACCACTGTCAGATTACATTTGATTTACTATAGCTTTCTTCAAATGGAGCAAGAATTAGCCCGTTTCCTAGGTTTAGGGTCTTGTGCTTCCTGATCCTTCACACACATACAGGATGTGCACATTGTCTCAGACAGTCTTCGGAGGCCTAGCCGGAAAACGCTGTTGGACAGGCTGTATATTACACAGTTACAAAAGCTATTACTTATTGCAAGCCACGTTGTTAAGAAGGACAGCGTCGGATTGTCCAAGATCCGGGAGCTTTCTAGAAGAAAGTAGATGATATAGGGGAGCCACAGCATATAAAATACACTGGTTATCCTAAACAAAACCATGGCGTAGCGTCGGTCAGGGCTGTGTCCAGTCTCTCTAGAAGAATCTACCTCATGACTAGGGAATCGGGCTCTTCGGTCATTTATCTCTTTGGTGTGCTGACGGCAAATTTTGAAAATGTGGAAGTAAGTGAAGCAGACAACAAAGGCAGCAGGAGCATAAAGTAAACAAACAATAAAGCCAGTAAAATAGGCACTGGTGAGCCAAGAGGTGGCACACCATTCAAAAATGTCACCATGGTAACCAGGTTTCCCCCAGCCAAAAAAGGAAGGCAAGAAAATTAGGCAGGAGTAGATCCAGATCAAAATAATGCAAATTCTCAGGCGACAAGGAGTGACCAGTTGATTGTAGGAAAGAGGCTTGGTTATTGCAAGATAACGATCCACGCTGATGCAAGCAAGACATGCCATAGAAACACTTTTTAGAACTGAGATGATATATCCAAAAACCTGGCAAGTCAATGACTCGTGGACACCTGTAGAGTAGTGGAGAAGTGAGAGAGTAGGAACCAAGCAGCTAACTCCAACGAAAAGATCAGCATATGCCATTGTCTGAATGAAATAGCTGGTAGTATAATGATGTAACAGTGGAGCACAATGAAAGACAAAGATAACTGTTAAATTCCCAGCAATGATCAGAAATGTCAGCAACACAATAACCACTGTCTCAAAGATGCAGACATCCACCACACTGTAGTGACCAAATCCAAGTGGGCAGGAGTGATGCTCGGACACATTCACAATGCCACTGCTCATGTTCAGGATCCTCCATTCAGTCCACCTGGAATCATTCATGGCTTGGAAATTAAAGATGCCTGCAGACTTGGCTACAGCAAGCAGGTGTCCTGTTAAACACTGCACATCAGTGTTTCAGAACCTGCTTCAGTAGACAGTGTCAGTGCTTCTGTCACAGCTGAGAGTCCCAGAGAGTGCTCAAGTCTCTTCATCAGCCTCAGTTCAGCAGTGACACACCTCAGCTTTCAGGGGGCGGGGAGGTAGAAAGAAGGGGGTAAGTTAGAAAGGAGGTGAAAAGAGGTCACTAATTAGCTTCCTCTGGTGCCCTCAAAGAACTTTTTGCAGACATAAGGCACTTCTAGAGAAAACAGACATTATCTTGCACTATGAAAAATTAAATCTGTAAAAAGAAAAAAAAATTGCCAAGGGAAGAAAAGCTTCTGTGGGCTGTTTGTTCTCCTAAAAGAGGCAGTTTCTTAGGGATCAACTAGAAAGAAAGAGAAAAGAAAAACTCTTAAACTGTCTCAGGTTTCTTGTTTCATCTATGATGAAAAATGCATTTGTATTTTAGGCTTTAAATATCAAGATCTCAAATTTGGTTGAAAAGCTAAGGAAAAGTTCATTGTGGCAAAGAGTGTCTTAGGGCTTAGTTCAGGGATTGATGTTGGTGGGTCAACTTTATAATCTATTTCTCTCTCATTTTTCTAAAATCTAAGAAAAACAACTCTATCAAAGTTAATTTATAAAGATTCATCTCGACATGGGGAGAGTAGGGGGAATAAACAGATCCCAGATTGCCCTATAACTCTCATGAGGAAAAAGTATTTTTCCAAAAGAAAAGATAATATACAACGAACTAATGGATTAACACCTAGCAAAATATAATAAACTTCTGAAGTTTTAATTCTGCATGCATTTTTAAAGCATTTAGATGAAAGCAGTTTTAGTACATTACAGTTACTGGTGGTACTAACAGCAACATAAATTATACCTCTTCCTTTTCAAAATGAAATCATTTTTGCTATTAATTTGCACGTACAACTTAAAATAACGTTTGTTATTTGATATACCACCTTTCTTATAACGGAGCATGATAAAATATATAGCTCATAGTTATTTCTCACCTTTGCAACTGCACACCAATATCTCACATATATGTGTAAATACATATTAAAGTTAGACAATAATAAAACTTTCCAATACACTCTGAGCTTATCTGACCAGAAATCCTGCCATTATTTATTACTTAGGTGTTTCTAACAGGCTTCATATTCTATTTTACTATACCTTTTCTATTTTCGGTAGATGATTAACACATTAAAAATCATTTCTTTAACTATATCTTCTGAAAGTGGAAAATTACCTTGTTTATTACATTTGCAGTTATGTAGCAGCCATATGTTAAAAAATACCTCTTCTATTTCTGTATTCTATTTTGAGCAAGTGCTCAATTAATACGGGGGCCATTAGGTAGGTTGCAAGATAGTCTTATTTTTAAATACCTCTAAAGTATCAAGATGAGTTTAAATCCTAGAGTTTGAAATATTGCAAGGCTGGCAGGACAGAATCCATCCAAAATGCTTCCAAGGTCATTCTGATATCAGGTTAACATTTGTCAAAGTACTTTTTAAAAGTAAAGTCATTTCAGAGAGTCTCTTGTCATTCTTTGTTATCTTATCTTTTGAAGAAATAACATGCATTAGAAATAAAAACAATTCCTCCAGGAACAATGCAGCAGCTTAATAGAAAGCATTCTTCTGAAAGTTATTTTCTGGTGCACCACCAAGTCATTCAGGCAAGTCCTTCTGCTTTTGTAATAGCCATAGGATATTTCTTCTTGTACATTCCTAGTTTCACTTATCACAAAATAGTTCTCTTGTTACAGGAATAAGGTAATGCTTCTCACCTACATTCACTCTTATCAGCTGCTAGGCTGGGCTGCTTGATTCAGAAGTCCGATTTACTGTGATGCAGTTACAAGGATGCTGTCAGTATATTCTTCACAATCTCTCAGCATCAATGCCTCCACCTGAGCCCAAGCCCTCCTCCTCATCATCATCCTGGGCTGATGCAGAAAAACTCACCATCAGAAAGGTGACTCGGCCCTCCTGCCCCAATCAACAGCACAGCCAATGGCTACTGCAGCTGAAACTGTCACTAGGTAACAGTTGCCAGGCACATGCAGGCTTATAGACTTACTCGGCAAGCTCCGATCAAGACTGACAAAAGAAGACAATGGAACTGACCGATCTTTATAATATATTAAGGCATTTATGAACTTCTCAAGTTATTCTCCTTATAGCATTTGTAAGGATTATTTTGTATGGACAGGACAGAAAAAATAAACTGGTATACTCCTGTAAACCCTGTAAAGAAACTACCACAAGGCACTATGACACTAAAAAGTCAGCAGTAATCTAATGCTCTTTGGAAGAAAAAACTTATTAATTATTAAAAAACTGCCAAGTCTTCATGAACTCAAGTGATATGACTACTAATTTCTCTCTAAAATACATAGTTATATTTTAATTAACAGAAGTTAGAAATCATTTACGAATCTCTCCCATCCCCACCATACCCACAAAAAATTGCTGAGTTTGATGTATTTAACTGTACAAAGCAACAGAACTAACACTACTGTACCCAAATCTATTCAGAGAAACACTGAAGGTCAAATATGATCTCAAAAGAGTATAGAAATTAGAATAAATAGAAACATGCTTATCTACTTTTTATCCTAATATGGAAAAAAGGTCAAATAGTTATAAAAATCTGTTCTAAGTGCTTGAGCTACACATACCTAAATTAGAACAATGCAAATTAAACTAAAATATTTGATGGGCATTAAAAACATTTCTGATTATTTTGACTTACTACAGGAAAATATTCACTATTTTAAACATATTTCTTACGGGATTAGCACTTTTCTTAAAGTGACTTAGAACTAATTTACAAATTATTTCAGAATTAAAATACACCAGGAAAATGAAGATAAAAATGGAAGATAACTAACATTTGTTGAGTATTTTCTATATGCTAAGCACTGTGCTATGTGCTTTATATACTCTTCCTTTATAAAAATCTTAAAACTATATGAAGTTGGTATCATCATTATCATTTTTCAAAGGAAGAAAGCAGATACTAGAAGTATAACTTGCCTATAATTACAGAGCTGTGAAACCAGGACTGAAATAGGTTATTATTATTCTTAACACTATTTAAAAATTGCAAACCAAAACCACAATGAAATACTATCTCACACCAGTCAGAATGGTTATTATTAAAAAGTAAAAAAACTGAGATAGATGCAGAAAAAGCCTTTGATAAAATTCAACACCCCTTAATGCTAAAAATTCTCAATAAACTAGGATGGAACATATCTCAAAATAATAAAGCTATTTATGACAAACCCACAGCCAATATCACATTGAATGGGCAAAAGCTGGAAGCATTCCCTTTGAAAACCAGCACAAGACAAGGATGTCCTCTCCCACCACTCCTATTGAACATAGTATTAGAAGTTCTGGCCAGGGCAATCAGGCAAAAGAAAGAAAGAAAAGGTATTCAACTAGGAAGAGAGGAAGTCAAATTGTCTCTGTTTGTGGATGATATGATTGTATATTTAGTAAACCCCATCGTCTCAGCCCAAAATCTCCCTTAACTGATAAGCAACTTCAGCAAACTCTCAGGATACAAAATCAATGTGCAAAAATCACAAGCATTCCTATACCCCATCAAAAAATAGACAAAAGCATATGAACAGACACTTTTCAAAAAAAGACATATATGTGGCCAACAAACATATGGAAAAAAGTTCATCATCACTAGTCATTAGAGAAATGCAAATCAAAACCACAATGAAACACATCTCATGCCAGTTATAGAATGGGGATCATTAAAAAGTCAGGAAACAACAGATGCTGGAGAGGATGTGGAGAAATAGGAATGCTTTTGCACTGTTGGTGGGAGTGTAAATTATTTCACCCATTGTAGAAGACAGTGTGGTGATTCCTCAAGGATCTACAACCAGAAATATCATTTGACCTAGCAATCCCATTACTGGGTATATACTAGAAGGATTATAAATCATTCTACTATAAAGACAAATGCACATGTATGTTTACTGGCACACAATAGCAAAGACTTGGAACCAACCCAAATGCCCATCAGCGATAGGCTGGATAAAGAAAATGTGGCATATATACACCATGGAATACTATGCAGACATAAAAAAGATGAGCTCATGTCCTTTGCCGGGACATGGATGAAGCCGGAAACCATTCTCAGCAAACTAACACAGGAACAGAAAAGGCAAGTATTTCATGTTCTCACTCATAAGTGGGAGTTGAACAATGGGAACACATGGACACAGGGAGGGTAACATCACAGACCAGGGCCTATCAGGAGGTGGGAGGCTAGTGGAAGCATAGCATTAGGAGAAATACCTAATGTAGATAATGGGTGATGGGTGCAGCAAACCACCATGGCACACATATACCTATGTAACAAACCTGCATGTTCTACGCATGTATCTCAGAACTTAGACTATAATAACAATAATAAAAAAGTGAAAAAATTACAGATATTGGAAAGGTGGTAGGAAAAAAGGCACACTTATATAATGCCAGTGGGAATGTAAATTTGTTCAGCCACTGTGAAATGCAGTTTGACAATTTCTCAAAAACTTTAAACAGAACTACCACTCAACCCAAAGAAATAGAAATCATTCCACAAAAGACACATGCATTTATGTGTTCATTGCAGCACTATTCACAATAGCAAACACATGGATCAATCTAGATGCCTATCAACAATGGACTGAATAAAGAAAACATGGTACATACAGACCATGAAGTACTATGCAGCCACAAAAAGAACAAAATAAGGTCCTTTGCAGCAATACAGATGCAGCTAGAGGCCATTATCCTAAGCAAATTATTGCAAAAACAGTAAACCAAATACTACATATTCTCACTTTTAAGTGAGAGCTAAACACTGAGCACAGATGGACACAAAAAGGAGAACAACTGACACTGCGGCTGACTCCACAGGGAGGGTGGAGGGTGAGAGGACTGAAAAACTACCTATTGAGTAGTACGCTCACTGCCTGGGTGATGAAATCATTTGTATACCAAACCAATGACACACAATTCACCCATGTAACACACTTGTACATGTACTCCCTGAACCATAAATGAGCAAAACACCAAGAATAAAACAAATAAAATCCCTACTCTCTTCTTTCTTCTGATGGCTGCCAGTCAGAAAATGTCTTAGAATAATTTCAGATTTTGTAAAAATGATTTCTATCATATCAGTATCTTTTCTTACTGCAATGGAATAAAACTAAAAATCACAAGAGGAGCTTTGGAAACTGTGCAAATACATGGAAATTAAACAACATGCTCTTGAATGACCAACAGGTTGATGAAGATCTGAATAGACATTTCTCATAGAAGGACATACAAACTGCCAAGATGTCTATGAAAAATTGCTCAATTCGCATCAGGGAGATGCAAATCAAAACTATAATACAACTGTATAACTATAATCTCACCTAGTGAATATGGTTATTATCAAAAGAACAAAACATAACAAATGCTGGTGAAGACGCAGAGAAAACAGAACACTCATATACTGTTAGGGAGAATGTAAAAGTAAAATAGCCACTATGCAAAACAGTATGGAAGTTCCTCAAAAATTTAAAAATAGAACTATCATATGATTCAGTAATCCCACTGCTGGTTATATAGCCAAAAGAAAGGAAATCAGCAATAACAAACAGATATATGCACTACCATGTTATTACAACACTTTGGAAGGCCGAGGCAGGCAGATCAACTTGAGGTCAGGAGTTCAAGACTAGCCTGCCCAATATGGTGAAGCCCTGTCTCTACTAAAAATACAAAAAAATTGCCAGGTGGGGTGGCACATGCCTGTAATCCCAGCTGCTCAGGAGGCTGAGGCATGAGAATTGCTTACAGTGAGCCAAGATCGTGCCACTGTGCACTCCAGCCTGAGCAACAGAGTGAGACTGTCTCAA